GGGGAACTGGTCTTGGTCATGACTCGGTCTCGACCTCCCTCGGTCTTGGTCTCAACTTGGTCTTAGCCCCTCAAAGTTTTGGTCTTTTCTCTGTCTCCATACACTCTGGTCTTGACTTGGTCTCGGTTTGGGCGGTCTAGACTACAACACTAATACATACTATATGCATTCAAAGTAAATTTTACACTTCATTTTTTGGAAAAGTCGGTTTAACACCACACACACACACACACAAACACACACACACCTCTTATATAAAACTTTTTTTTTTTATCAGACTGTAGGTTGTTTTAAAAAGATATAGCATATGGCCTACATATAAAGAAACTATAGCAACACAAATGTCCTTCACGTTGTGCCACTTTTAGCTTGTAACTGCACTGAAGGCCCTTTAGAAACTATATATAGGTGTTTCAGTCTGAAAAGGCCACCCAGGAATCCCCAGAGCTTTGTATTCTGACTCGTGCTACATGGACACAAAGCTCAGTTGAAACTATTCAGTGGAGGGTTGTATTTCACTTTCCTCCCTCTTGCATCTGCCAGCCAGTTTGCCAGATTTCTTACATAAATGTTTGCAGAGTGGCTCTTAGAATGCCTTGAACACTTAAATAGGCCTCTTATTAACACATCATAAGGCACATGCATCACTAAGTTGTTCATTCATTAGACCAAGAACAGGTTAATGTCTGTTTTTATTACAGTGTATTAAGTACTATAATTTGGCAGTCGCTCAAGGCATTTGATGTTTCTTGTTTTGAATATGATATCAGTTTGGCTTTATAAAACTGTCAAGACAACAGTATAAAACTGAATTGAATTCAACTAAAGGCAAATCAATCTAAATGTCAGCCTATTTAATTTTACAGATGAAGTCTCTCTTTCTACATATAACTTAACCTTGGCTATAAGCCATAGTGCTTTTGATGAAAATGTACTTGATGCGATATTTCAATCTTTACGTGCTTGCGTCATTTTATTGTGTCTTAATTGCATGACAATTTACCATTTAGTTTAGCAATGTGAGAACAGAAAGGATCACTTATAATAGCAGTCTAATAATTTAATGTGTCTTTACATGAGTGATCATGTTTTATTTATGTGTGACTAAATAAGCAACACTGAATAAAAAAAGCCTAATAAATAAATAAATAATATTTATAGACATTAAGAGTTTAACAGACACAAACTCAGCTAATCTGCTTAATCAGGACAGTGTGGATGTAGTTTGATCAGATTTTATTGAGAGCAATCAACCAACATGCCAACTGTCATTAAAATGCTGCTTAACTATGATTGGTGCGCAGAAGTATGCGCCCTCACCTTGGTGCAACCGAGCCCCGCCTACTGCAAAATGACAATAGGAGCACAGAGATAAACAGAAATGTCTCATATTAAATGACCAAAACGGCGTTGGTATAGTGCTCATCACTCATACAGAACAGTATAGAACAGTAAGAAGCTAATTGAGAAAATGTTTTCAGGGACTTTAAAGTTTCGACTTTGAAGCTGATCACGTAAATAGGTGTTTTTATGGACATTTTTTAAGAAAGAGTTGAATAATTCAGAACTTTTACATCTCATTTTATGTTGGACTGGAGAGAAGAGTATGTTTATTTTGACACATAAAAGCATTTTGTGTTAAAAATGTATGCAAATGTCGAGCAGTGACATCACAGAGATTTGCTGTATTTGCTGTGACCACACCGTGGTGATACGCAACACGAATAAAAACCAGCAACTCTGGAGAAAAGTCGATCAAAAATTCAGGAATTCCTTTTATCTGCTGGAATGCAAAGTCGTTTTGATATAAGATGCAGTATGCAGACTCCATCTTGTAAATAAACGCTCCCTCACTCAACCTCGTATTCAGAAAACTACCCATGTATTGAATGTATTGTATTGCATTGAACCTGCAGCAGGTCTTCCCACCATACAATAGCATTTAAGAATTAATTTTGATGAAGGTTAAAAGGCTGTGCACAAAAAGGTAATACATTGTGAATGGAATACTAGCAGGCAGTAATGTTATGGCAGTGTTGTGTAATGGCTATATAGCTGTAGCTGTCAAAACCTCATATTGAAGACATCTATGGTTACATTAACATACTCACTGCATTTCAAATATTCTTTCATGTCCTACTGGAAGTTCTTTTTGTAATAGCTGTTTATATTACAGTTCATCTAACAGAGGTCCCTTATTGGTTTAATTAGCTGACAATAATTTGTATTTTTCAGTATTTCACATTCTCAGTGTAAGAGACGTTTTTGTGCAGGCTGTACAGACTACGAATTCAAAGCTGTTGAATAAAATACCTTTAAACAATTCATCCCTCTGAGATAGAAATAATAAAACACACTGTCTAGCTGTGGTCAAGTAGGACATCCATCATTTAGGAGCTTGACAGCAGTGACTGGCTGTTGCTTTACTCTGATTAAACAGCGAACCTATAAAATGATACAGCCTTAGTTTGTATACAGAATGTGATTTCAATAGCCCGCTCAATCAAGGTAAGTTCTTATCCCAGCTATTACGATTGTTTTTATATTGTTTTTGCTCTCATTACTCAATCACACTGGAGAAAGGACATGAAAGATGAGAAAAAGAAATAAGTGTGACATGTAACAAAGATTCCAGGTCAAATTTGGTTCGTCGCCCAAATGAACAATCAGGAAACCTCCCCAAATCCAGGATTGTATTTATGTTACCTCATGTTCAGCTTTGCACAAAGGTTGCTTGGTCAAACTATAATAACGGTACCTCCATGTTGTCATCTGGTCTAAAGCTTAAACCTAATCATCTTTCTATCATGAAAAATGTAACAATTCACTCCTGTCTGGATGGCAGATGGCACTGCAATAGCAATTTATTCATGTTATGACTGTGGGAAAGATGCAACAAAATGGGTTTCTGTAGACTACTGAGTAAGTCCGATCACAGCAGAAAGTTCAGATGATCATATTACGGGACAGCTTTGAGCAGCTTTCCTTCTAGATCATAAAACTAGATCATGTACAAGAATTAATTCCTGTAGAAAACTATATAAAGCGTAAAAATGAAATACTGTGATGTAATAAACAATGCTAAATAACAATATATTATAAACCAATAAATTATTTAAAAACTTAATACAAATCATTTCATTGTTATAGAATGTTTTCAAATTAACAGAGTTTTATTGGACTTACAAATATTATTTACACAAACCATTTCTTTAAAATTCTGTTATTATTTCATAACACTGCTTTGCAAGACAGAGTCACCAGCGTACCCTCTCGCCTTTCAGCCACTCACATGTGCCCACAACCTGCTGGCAAGCTAGCTAGATCCATTTGGCAACAACAATTTGGATGTGTCCAAAATAACTACCCATTTATTATTTAGTGCACTATATTTTTTTGTCTACCATTTCCAAATTAAGTGTGAAATTAATGCTTTATATGGTGCCCCAGGGGTGGGTAGTAACTTGTTACAAGTAATGCAATGAGGTAAAAAGTAGTGTTTTTTTTGTTTGTTTTTTAGGAATGGTAACTTTTCACATACCTTTTTAAAAGTGTTTTCATACACTTTTATTAATTTCTTGGGCCAGTAATTTACTTTTGGAACTAATGGAACTCAAATCCAGCTGCACACTATGACTTTTAAGACAAATGATTAGAGGATTGATTTTGATATATTAACAGAATCCTCTTATTGCACAAAGAATGGGTTTCTTTTGATGGAAATTAGCCTATTTCTTTTTTCTAATTCACACTGGTTGTTATTTGTTATATAGTGAGGCCAGATGGTGAATTTATTAAATAGAATGTCGCCGGTGAAAGTGATATTTGCTTTCACTCAGTACGTTACTAGTTGTTATTTGTTTAGTAAACACGTGGTGCACAGATGTTCCTCTATTATATAGGCTTACCCTACTTAATTCAACAATGGGCTGCTCCCACGTTATTGCCACAGTAATCCTTTACAATGTAAAGATTATGTTCTTAGATGCTTTAGGATTAATCATATTGTACTGGGCGCTATTGGAGAAGGCAAATCATATGCAGCACCCTTCATATCAAAAGAAGTAGTTTGGTTGGCTACATGTCCATCTTAAGATAACAACAGATACAGACAACAATAGTAGGCTAGACAACAAATGTGATATTTAAAGTGATCTTATTGATACCTTCATGTAGATAAAAAATATATAATAATTATGTAAAATAATTGTATTAACAGAAATAGCTCAAATAAAGATTAATCAATCAACATGCAATGCAAAGTTCATTCCTTAGAAATAATCATGTTGCACAGTGGCTATTTCTAACCTGATGCACAGTAACATTTATTATCCCAAAGAGAGACTTGAACTGGAGTCAAACTCCGAAGACTTGAGACTTGGCTTGGACATGTTTTTGCTCTTCACAGAGTTGTGTGTCTTTAGAATCTTTAGAATCACAACGCTGCAGAGGGTATCATTAAATTTACCTGCTAGCTGCTTCTGCTAACACTGGCTCTTCACTTTATGGCTGAGTAATACATTGCTGTTCACAATCTAACCAAGCTAGTCAGCTGTTCATTAGGTACCATGTGTAGCCTTGTTATGCTAAATAAAAGGAGGTAGTATTATACTGTACTATACTGTACTGTGCCCTATTTAATTAGAGCGGCGGGCTCTAGTTAGTTGATTCAGATTCATTTTAGCATTTTGTTGCTCTAGCTACAAGAGCTACCTGGCTAAACTTTGTTAACAGTTGGTTAGCCTTCTAAAAGGCTGCTAAGAAAATGCCATAATGAAATAAAAACAGAACTTCTAAAACTAAAATTAAAGCTAAAAAATCTAGAGAGAAATAAATAGTAATATAATATTTATTTATAAAAGTGTTTAGGTTTCACAAACTATACTTTATTATATAATTTTACTATTTATTGGGTAATTTATATGTTTTACTTTATTTATTCATGTGGCCCTCAATCAAATCTAGCCCCACACTCCCACAGCCCACCCTACTTCCAGTACCTATATTTGCCATCTCAGGCACGATGGCGCTGTAGGGGCCTTCGTCAAAGATAGGCGGGTTGTCATTGATGTCCTGCACCCGGATTATAAACTGGGATGAGGGCTCCAGGGCACGGTCAGTCTGTCTGTCGGTGGCCGTGGCGACTAGACGATACTCGTCCTTCTCCTCACGGTCCAGTGGCTTGGTGACGTGGATGTTACCTGTCTTCTCGTCTATCACAAAGACAGAGCCCGCCCCCTCGCCTCGCAGGACATACTTAGTGCGTCCATCATTTCGGTCCATGTCGGTGTGGAGCTAGGTGAGAGATGATGGGAAGAGGGGTAAAGAGAGGTAGGGAAATGATGAAAGAGACCAATTTGAAACAAGGAAGAAACAAGAAAAAGGGGGAAACAGAAAGTGGAAGTATGTGAGAGGTAAGGACAGAAAGGAACAAAAAGGGTGGGGGGAAAAAAGGCAAGAGTAAAGTAGAGTTTGTTTTTTCGAAACAGGCAGTGAAGACAAAACAAGCAGATTATCATCTGCATGCCTCCAGGATATAATCAGACAAAAGAAATATGCACAATACCTCCCTCTCTCACACACACTTCCCTCCCATTGTACTGTTTCTCATCTCTCTATTCCTGCAGTATGAGCAGGTAGGTACCAGGATCTCCTTAATCTCAATGATATCCAGAACACATACTCTCCTGCTCACTCTTAAAGCCTCTTTTCATTTCTCAGCAGCTGTGGATGGCAAAAGCTTACTAGTCTATGCACATGCAGTGCCCTGTCTATTTAATGAAAGCACCAAATCAAAGAAATAATGAACAGTAGGCCAATCAATTATTCCCTAACTAATAGGTGAGGTATGAGAGAGAGTGGGGGAGTGCATGGCAGTGGGACAAGCTGTATCGATCACAGCCCTATGTTGAGCTTTATTGGATCAGCGCCTGGCGGGATGGCAGAGCAGCAGAGCGACCAGCGTCCTGTCATGCAGGGAGAGGTAATATCAGGGAAGGCTCCACACTGTCCTCCGTCCCCGATGAAAGAGACACACCAGCAGGATGCGCCCAGCACATCAAGATTCAATCTCATTACCCACACCTACGTGGATTGAATAGCAACTGTGACAAAAAAAGAGTGCCAAATTAGCCCCCTGTCGCAAAAAAGTGTGACACTGTGACTTTAGATGGAGAGAAGAACGAAGAGCCGGCTGGGGAGGGGACTGGGGTTTAGCTCAGGAAAGCATTGTTGCGTGGCAACAGCTAAGCATATTTGCAAAATGAAATGAGAATGGATACTGTGAATCGAAATATTCATTTACTTTGAGGATCGCCATTTTTCAAGGGGGGAAATAGCATGGATGCGCCAGCGTTCCGGGGGGTAAACGATAAGTACGGATGTTGACAAGGTTGTTTATAGCTAAGAAAGCAATCATAAGTTCAGACACTCTGAAAGTTGAAGGCAAAACTGTGTGAACAATTTGGCATGAACTCAAAAGTTAACACTTCACCTTCAAAAGATCCCCTTATTTAAACAACTCAAATTTCAAAATCTTAAAGCACTCTAGACAATATAGAGGATGTTCAGTGGGAGCAGTATGCACTTCTAGAATCTAGAGATAGACTGCTGTTCACTATATCCATCCCAGGAACTGTTGTGACCATAACTAAAGTGATCATGTGTTAAAGTGATACTTCACCCAAAACCATCCATCCATCCATCGTCAAACGCTTATCCTACGTACAGGGTCGCGGGGTTCACCTAAAACCTTTTACTGTAAATATAAACACATTGCAGTTTGCAACGTCATAACAGAGACTGTGGTCAGCTCAGATTCATGGTGCTCAAGTCATGAGGGAAAATGAATCATAAGGTTCACAAAAAACATGTAGTTTTTCAATGAAATCAAATTTTTACTGCCTTTTTGTCAATGGCCTGTAGCCCCACTAAGAAAATGAAGCACACGCCTGTTTTCTCTGTTGCTTGGAACAGCAACGATTCTGCTAGTAATGTGAAGTAATGTAGCCCTCAGCATGTTCCCGAGTTTCTCTCCGACTACAGCGATAGCAGCATAGATAACGAAATTTGAAACGAAATGCAGTCCACTGACGCCACAAAACAAGAGGCTCCCACACAACTCAGACTACAACATAAACTCCACGTGAGGATAAAAACAACAATTAAGTTTTATGTGCTGAAGCCCATCAGACCAAACGAGATTCAGATGATGTCAAGCGAAAATAGTCAATATCAGAAAGGCTGGAGTTAAATGTAAATGCTCTGTATTTGTATGGCGCCTTTCTAGTCTTTTCGACCACTCAAAGCGCTTTTACAGTACATCGGCATCGACCTTCCAATTAACGGGCAACCTGCTCTACCTCCTACGCCACAGTCGCAACCTCTTAACATTCCAACGGAGAAATGCAGTAGCAGCCACCTTCCGCCAAGGGGCGGTGCTGTTTTTGGAAAAATACGCTAAGACATACACTTTAGACATAAAAACCTGTGTAAAATAGTCATTTTTCATGGTATTGGTATGAAATTTAAACTTGGATTATGTAAGGTTTTATGCTGTGGCCCTACAGTGTTTTCCAGCTAGTCCCAGCTATAGTTGTCTGCATGCATTTGTTAGCGAGCATTTTCAAGCGGAAATGAAAAATATATTCATTTTAGTGTTTAAATTGATATTAATCAATTCCAGTAGCACTTACAATCATTCTGACTTTTGGGTTAGACACTCTTAGACACAGGGTGTTATCTTTCAGAGAAGCCCAAAACCATGCATATACTCCAAATGGTTCAACAACTACATTCAATTTACTTTGAATATGACTTGAATAGGCATTTTGCATGAGTTACGGACATTAGCTGGCCGAGCAGTTGCTAGCGTTAGCCAGCGCAAAGTTGTATTGCATTTCACATTACTTTACCAACTAACGTGACCCATATTACTATCCTGTGTGCCACCGGTATTATGTCAAAGTGTTGATTTAGCCTGCAAGAAAGGATGTAACGGTACAAAGCAAATGTGGAGCGGTGTTATACCGCTCCACATTTAGTTATACTAGCCTATAGTGATGCAAGGCAGTGCAGTCAGCTAACGTTACATTAGCTCGGAACTGTCGCTGTTTGCTTTGTAACGTTCAAGTTTGATTTATTGTCGTTTTACCAATACTCAGTTACACAGCTTCTCCACCTCTCATTCGCTGTAACGTGATCCACATAATATACAAGACTGCAACAGCGCAGGACAACAAAACAGAGGAAGACTCATTCACTAACGTTACAGTGCAACTGTAACGTTACAGTTGTGCGGCAACAATCTCATTTATATTATTCAGTCCAGCTCACAAACCGTTACATACATTTAGGTGTGTTCACATTGCTCTGGTGAAAGATACACAAATAGTAACATTACTGGAAAGCAGAGAGGCGAGCTGAAGCTGATGTAGCACCTTGAGTAAATGCAGTAAATGTAACTTTATCATGTGACCAGCATGGATTAACATGGTTCAACCTCAAGATGATAAAAATATTGCTGTAACGTTGCAGTGGGAGTTTACCTGAGTTTCCAGCATGTTGTGTGAAGCTGTCTCCCTGTCTGTTTATAGCCGCTGTCACACTGCCTTTTTTCCCGTGAGCCTGAACATGTCTGTGTGAAAAGCCGCAGCCGGTGTGACACCAAAATGTGTGACCTATCAGATTCTGTGACCCATTTAGGTCACAGAAAGCCAGAGGCTTTGTTGACGATGTGAAGCGGTTGCAGTTTGGTTGGGTTTAGGCACCAAAATACTTGGTTATGGTTAGGAAAACATCGTTGTTTTGGTGTAGTCACAGAATCTCATATGTCACAGATTTTGGTGTTACACCTGCATGCTGGTGCATCTGCATTTATTGCGGGATCTCTGTATGAAAGTGGCTGTGTTTTGGGTTATGCTCGCTCATGAGTTCAAGCTTAACCATAGGAGCACATGCCCGGTTGCAATCTTAAAACCACACTGCTAGTGGCCGCTGACAACTACATATTTCCCCTTTAACCAAATAACAGATAAATAGGCTACACTAATTTATGTGTGTGTGTGTGTGTGTGTGTGTGTGTGTGTGTGTGTGTTCGCGCGCGCACTTACGAAAGTACTACTTTTCCAGACCATAGAGCATGACCTTTGCTATGGAAGCTGTGTATTTAACCATTTTGGTAAAACATACTGATCATACAGGATAGATGGACATGGAAATGATGCAGAGGCGCTTTGGACAATTTCTATTGACATTTGGATATTTTGTTCAGTGTGAAGATTCTCAAAAGACATATTTTGAGCAGTGAATCATTTTAATGTGTTATCACATAACCTGTGTCAATACTGACTTGTCCAGTTCAAAAACTCTTTGTCAATATTTTTCCCAGCAGACATTTGACTTAGTAGGAAAAGCAAAGGTAGGTTTGGGAGGATTACTTTAAAAATGTAATCCGGTACAATTACTATCTACTTGTTAAAAAATTTAATCAGTAATGCAATCCAAGTACCACAAAACAAAAGTTATGTAACCTGATTACTTTACTGTTACTTTTGGATTACTTCAATGCCAAATACGCAAATAAAGACAAGAGAGTATCAAAGATGTGTTGTCTGCTCAGTGTATTTTTAGAGAAATATACAATTATAAAATATCCCATTCCCATGAAATCAAAAATCGATGCTTAAATGTTTTTATATGAAATGATTTGCACTGGGCCTATACATCATATGGCAGGATCTGGCCCATCAATGACAGAAAGCCTTTTTTGTAAGTATTCTTGTTGACATTTTAGTGTGTTATTTCCTGGAAAATGATTTTAAAATGTTGATGAATTGTCCTGCACTGGGGGGCTTGTATAAATTTAGTGTCCATTGAAAAGCTGTGGCTCAGGAGGTAGAGTAGGTTGGCCGTTAATCGGAAGGTCAGTGGTTCAATCCCTGGCTCCCTGGCGCCCTGGACACTGGTCCAAGTGTCCTTGGGCAAGATACTGAACCCCGAACTTAGTGGCGGCTGTTCCGCCAGTGTATGAATGTGTGTGAATGTTAGTTTCTGTTTGAGCACTTAGGCTCAGTGTGTGAATGCAGATGTAGTGTAAAAGCGCTTTGAGTGGTCGAAAAGACTAGAAAGGCGCTATACGGAGCATTTACATTTAATTTTTATGACACTGCTGAAAAATAGTATTTCTGGGACCAGGCACTTACTGTACAAAATAGGGTTAGCGCTAGCTAACATCTCCTCTTCAGACTGCAGTCTGGAAGCTGAGCAGGACGTTTTTTGGCTGCTGGTTCAAGTTT